GTGCTCCCAGTATGCCCAGTGCTCCCAGTATATCCTGGTGCTCCCAGTGTTCCCAGTGCTCCCAGTATGCCCAGTGCTCCCAGTATATCCTGGTGTTCCCAGTGCTCCCAGTATAGGCTGGTACTCCCAGTGCTCCCAGTATATCCTGGTGCTCCCAGTGCTCCCAGTGCTCCCAGTGTTCCCAGTGCTCCCAGTATCCCAGTATGCCCAGTGCTCCCAGTATAGGCTGGTACTCCCAGTGCTCCCAGTATATCCTGGTGCTCCCAGTGTTCCCAGTGCTCCCAGTGCTCCCAGTATATCCTGGTGTTCCCAGTGCTCCCAGTATTCCCAGTATCCTCCTCGTCCCCCCCAGTCCCCCCGGTGCCCGCGCCGCCCTCCCGCCGCCAGGGGGCGCTGCCGCCGCGCGCACAGCCAAGATGGCGGCGGCCGCGCGCGCGCTGCGGGTGAGGGGAGAGCGGGAATGGGAAAAGGGAAAAAAACACCGGGAAAACGGGAAAATACCGGGAATGGGAGAAACACCGAGAATGGGGGAAAAACGCCGGCGGACACTGAGCGTGGGGGACACCGGGGAAGGCGCTGACAAGGGACAGCGGCTGTGGGGACAGCGGGGATGTGGCGCTGGGCGTGGGGGGCTCTGGGGAGGAGGGACAGGGGCTGTGGTGGCACTGGGGACACAGGGCTGGCCCTGCCAGGCTGTCCCCTGTCCCCTGCCTGGCCCTGTCCCCAGCCCTGTCCCTGTCCCCTTGCAGGTCCTCCCCCGCGCCCTCCGTGTCCCCAGCGCCACCCGGCAGCTCCACAGCAGCCCCGTGTGCCTCAAGGTGAGTCCTCGGGACCCCGCGGCCGTGTCCCCTGTCCCCGTGTCCCCTGTCCCTGCTGTCCCTGTCCCCTGTCCCTCTCCCCTGTCCCTGTCCCCACTGCCCCCTATCCCTGCTGTCCCCATTGTCCCTGTCCCCTGTCCCCACTGTCTCTGTCCCCACTGTCCCACTGTCGCTGTCCCTCTCCCTGTCCTTGTCCCACTGTCCCTGTCCCCTGTCCTCCCTGTCCCCTCTCCCTGTCCCCTGTCCCTGTCCCCTTTGTCCCTGTCCGTGTCCCTGTCCCTGTCCCCTCTGTCCCTGTCCCCTGTCCCTGTCCCCTGTTCCCTCTGTCCCTGTCCGTGTCCCTGTCCCCTCTGTCCCTGTCCCCTGTCCCACTGTCCCTCTCCCTGTCCCACTGTCGCTGTCCCTCTCCCTGTCCTTGTCCCTTCTCCCTGTCCCCTGTCCCTGTCCCCTCTGTCCCTGTCCCACTGTCCCTGTCCCTGTCCCACTGTCCCTGTCCCCTGTCCTCCCTGTCCCTGTCCCTTCTCCCTGTCCCCTGTCCCTGTCCCCTCTGTCCCTGTCCCACTGTGGCTGTCCCCGCAGGCACGGGCAGCGCGGGTGCGCGCGGGCAGGGGGGACAAGGCGGTGACGTACGAGCAGGCGCACGCACCCCATCACATCGGGCACCGCAAGGGCTGGCTGTCCCTGCACACCGGTGAGTGACACGGGGGGGACAGGGGCTGGCTGTCCCTGCACACCGGTGGGTGACATGGGGGGACACGGGGGGACAGGGGCTGGCTGTCCCTGCACACCAGTGGGTGACACCAGGGACACGGGGGGACATGGGCTGGCTGTCCCTGCACACCGGTGGGTGACACGGGGGGACACAGGCACAGATGGGCATGGGGGGACACGGGGACAGCAGGGACATGGGGCACAGGGCATGGGGGACAGGGGGCACGGGGATGGGGCACAAGGGGCACACGGGCATTGGGGACAGGGGGAAGATGGACATGGTGGGACAGAGGAGACAGGTGGTGCCACTATTGCCATCACCACCCTGTCCCCTCAGGGAACTCTGCGTGGTCAGGCGGGCACAGTGGGCAGCCACCAAGGCCAGCTGTGCCACCCGTGTGTCCCCTCATGGAGCCTGCGTGGCGAGGCAGGCACGGCACAGTGGGCAGTGACCCTGTGCCAGCTGTGCCAGCTCTCTGTGCCCTCAGGGAACCTGTGTGGCGAGGCGGGCGCGGCGCAGCGGGCGATCGAGGACGCGTTCCTGCGGCGGTTCCTGGCCGGGACCTTCCCGGGGCTCCTGGCGGATGAGCTGGTGCTGAAGCGCCGCGGGAACCTGCTGGTGGTGTGTGCCCTGCTGGGCCGGGCACTGCCACCCCACAAGCTCTACTTCCTGCTGGGCTACGCCGAGACCCTCCTGGGCAACTTCTACAAGTGCCCCGTGCGCCTGGAGCTGCAGACCGTGCCCACCCGCGTGCCCTACAAGTACCTCTAGGGCCGGGAATAAACCTATAAACATCCCACAGGGAATATCCTATAAACGACCCTAAAGGAATGCCCTGGGGTATCCTCAGTGTGCCCTACAAGTGTCTATAGGGCTGGGAATAAACCTAAAAATGGCCCTAAAGGAATGTCCTAGAGATGGCCCTAAAGGAATGCTCTGGGGTATCCTCGTGGCAACCCTACAGTGAATAAACTCCAAGATCTGCTCTGAACAGACCCTACAACAAAAACCGAGCGAGACCCTCTCGAGGGGAACACTGCCACAAGCAGCAGGAGCTCTCTGGGGAGACCCTGCAATGCCAAACCAGGAGCATGAACTTTGGGGAGACCCTATAATAATGAATAAATAAATACCAGGATCTGTCCTGGGGTGACCCCACAAAAATTAAGAATCCAGAATTTGATACGGAGATACTCCACAATAACAAACCAGCAGGATGAACTCTTGAGGAGACCCTACAATAAATAAACACCAGGATGTGTTCTGGGGAGACCCTACAACGAATAAATACCGAGAGCTCTTTGGGAAGACCCTACAAAAACAGAGCTGTGCTATCAGCCTGGGGGAGATCCTCCAATCCCAAACCAACCGGGGGATTTCCAGGAAAATCTTACAATACCAAACGTGCCAGACCCTCCAGGGAAACCCTACAATTAATAAACACCAGAATCTGCCTGGGGCAGACCCTGCAGTAACCTCGCTGCTGGCAGACCCTACAAAGAGAGCAGTGGGGTGGTCCCACCCCCACAATCAGCCCCATGTCCCACCCTGGGGACACCCTACAACAACAGCTCAGGGGACCCGCCCTGGGGACACCCTGGGCACAGCTGGCCTTGGCCACAGGTGCCACCAACCTGGGCTGGGGGCAGGACGGGGACGCAGAGGTGACCCTGGGACACAGCAGCACCCGAGGAGGGGACACACAGAGCTGGGGACACCCAGGGAGGGGACACAGTGGCACCTGGGAGGACCTGGCAGCCAGCGTCGGTGCCCGGGGCCACCCTGCCGGGGCTGCTGAGGGGGACGAGTGACACTCAGGGATGCAGGAGCTGCGTCACTTCCCCCCGTGCCTCAGTTTCCCCAGCAGTGAAAGAACCAGAGCCTCGCAGCACCTTTATTGACGGCGGGGTGGGGGGACAGCGGCGGTCCCGTGGGGGTGGCAGCGTCCGGGGCCGCAGCGGTGTCACCGCGGGGGTGGCAGCGTCGGGGGCTGCGGTGTGTCACCACGGGGGTGGCAGCGTCGGGGGCTGCTGCAGTGTCACCCGGTGCCCCGGCGCTTGCTGAGCTCGTCCTGCACGCGCTGGCACAGGGCCCGGCGCAGCGGCGGCTCCAGCGGGCTCCGGGCGCACACCCGGCGGGTCACCTCCTCAGCGCTGTCCCCCTGCGGCACCCACGTCACCCTCGGGCTCCCGGGGACCCCCGGTACCCCACTGTGCCCCGGGGACCCCCAGTACCCAACTGTGCCATGGGCCCACCCACGGGACACCCACTGTGTCCTCGGGACCCCCTGGTACCCCACTGTGCCCTAGGGAGCACCCCTGGTACCCACTGTGCCCCGGGGAGCCCCGGGTACCCCACTGTGCCACGAACTCCCCGGGTATCCCACTGTGCCATGGGGAGCCCCTGGTACCCCACTGTGCCATGGGGACCCCGGGTACCCAACTGTGCCCTGAGCCCCTCCGGGTACCCCACTGTGCCACAAACCCCCCCACGGCACCCCCCCTGCCCCCGGGGACCCCCCAGGACACCCCCCACTGCCCCGGGCAGCCCCCCTGCCCCACGGACCCCCCTCGGGTACCCCCCGGGATTCCCCGTGGGACCCCCCCACTGTCTCTGTGGACCCCCAGGACACCCCCCGGGTTTCCCCGTAGGACCCCCCAGGACACCCCCACTGTCTCCGGGGACCCCCAGGACAACCCCGGGATGCCCCGTGGGATCCCCCCCCGGCCCCCGGTTGGCACCTGGTGCACGATCACGGCCGTGACCCGCCCGTCGTCCCCCTCGTACTCGAGGCAGAAGAGCCGCGGTCCCCGGGCCGGCTCCGGGGGGGCCCCGCCGCCCGCGGGGGGCGGCCCCGCGCTGGCATCGGCCCCGGGCCCGCCTGCGGCACCGCGCCTCAGCTACCGGGGCCGCCGGGGCCACCGGACAGCGTCCCGGCGGTGCCCGTCCCCATCCCGAGTGTCCCCAATTCATGGATGTCCCCATCGCAGGTGTCCCTCCAAATCCCCGGGTGTCCCGCACCCTCGTGTCCCCATCCCCACCCTCGGTCCCCCACGTCCTCGCACCCCCGGTGTCCCCCCCCACCCCCGGTGTCCCCGCACCTCCGGTGTCCCCGGGGCTGCCGCCCCTTCCCCGCCCATCCCCGGGCTCCCCGCACCGCGGTCCCTCGGGAGCGCGGCTCTCCCGCCCCGGTGCCCCCGTGCCCCGGTGCCCCCGTGCCCCGGTGCCGCTCACCGCCGCCCCGCTGGGGCCGGTACACCGGCTGGTCGGGCCGCCGGGGCCGCGCCGGGCCCGGGGTCAGCCGCGTCCGCGCTCGGCCCCGCGCCTGCCGCACCGCGCGCTCGTACGCGTCCCTGCGCGGCGGCGGCACAGCGCGGTTACCGGCTGCGGGGGCCCGGGACCGCCAAACCGGCCCGGTGTCCCCGCCGCACGCCGGTCCCGGGGGGGATGCCGGTACCTGGCGAGCTGGTTGCGGCGGATGTGCCGCACGAAGCCGTGGCTCATGTCCAGCCGTCCCCCGGGCCGGCAGCGCCAGCCCGGTGCCGCCGCCGCCGCCGCCGCCTCCATTCCCGGTACCGGCGGCCGCGGTCGGGACCGGGACGCGGCTCCTTTAAGAGCCCCGCGGGCCCGGCGGGCGCGCGCAGGCGCAGTAGCGCCTCCTCCCCGCAGCGGCGGCCGCGCATGCGCGGGGCAAGGCGGGCGGTTTGAGCCCCCCTTCCCCGCGCCGCGCATGCGCACTGCGGCCGAACCGCCGCCATGTCGAGCCGGGGGCGGCGGGACCGCGACTCCCGCGACCCCCGGGAGCCCCGCGAGCCCCGGGAGCCCCGCGAGCCCCGCGGCGCCTCCCGCAGCCGCCGCGACGCCGACGCCGAGCGGCCGCGGGGCCGGCGGGACGCGGAGCGGGAGCGCGCGCGGCGGGAGGCGGCGGAGGCGCTGCCGGTGGATCTGGCGCGCGTCAAGCGGGAACCGGGCACCGGCACCGGCACCGGCAGCGGCGTCTGGGGGGGCTCCGGCAGCGCCGCGCCCGTGCGGGTGAAGAGGGAGCGGGAGCCCGATGGAGACTCGGACCCCGAGCCCGAGCCCGCCGGTGGGCACCGGGAGGAGCGGGTGGGACCGAGGGGCTGGGGGACACCGGGGCTGAGGGGACACCGGGGCTGAGGGGACATTGGGGTGTGAGGGGACACCGGGGCTGAGGGGACACCGGGCCTGAGGGGACACCGGGGGTGAGGGGACATTGGGGTGTGAGGGGACACCGGGGGTGAGGGGACACCGGGGGTGAGGGGACATTGAGGGTGTTTGGGGGGTTCTGGGGTGGGAGTGGGGGGTTTTGGGGGGATTATAGGTGGGAGTGGGGTGTTTGGGGGGTTCTGGGGTGGGAGTGGGGTGTTTGGGGGGTTCTGATACTGGAGGGTCACCAGGACTGGTCCCGGGGTCCTGAGCTCAGCTCTGGGCAGGGTTTGGAGGCTCAGCCCTGGAGGTGTCACAGAGGGGGCTGGGGGGATCATCCTCATGTTTTCGGGGTCCTTGTGCCCCCTTTTCACACCCTGACCTCCCCAGTGCGCTACGGGCGCTTCGACCCCGAGGACCAGCGCAGCCGGCACTGCCCCTACCTGGACACCATCAACAAGTGGGTGACGGGGCTCTTTGGGGTGCCCCTGGGGGTCCCCCAGCTGCCCCCCAGCCCCGTGACACCGCTCTGCCCCCCAGGAGTGTCCTGGACTTCGACTTTGAGAAGCTCTGCTCCATCTCCCTGTCCCACATCAACGTCTACGCCTGCCTTGTCTGCGGGAAGTACTTCCAGGGTGAGAGCTGCTGGGGCATAGGGACAGCCAGGAGTGATGTGGGACACCCGAGGGACAGCCAGGAGTGATGTGGGACACCCGAGGGAGAGCCAGGAGTGATGGGGGACACCCCAGTGCTGCTTTGAGGGACACTTGGGCATAGGGGTGGTGGTGAGGGGGACACCCAGGGACTGGGGTGAGGCACAGGGGGTCTGGGGTGTTGCTGGGGACACCCAGGGACAGGGAACAGCCAGGGACAGGCTGCTGCCACGGTGTACAAAGAGGGGAGGGACACCATGGGGACACCCAGGGTGGCTGCTGGGGTGCTCAGGGACCCTCCAGTGGGCACAGTCCCCGTACGTGCCCAGGGGATCCTCTCTGTGCCCCCTGCCTCTGGCACGGTGCTCGGTGCCATCCCTGGTGCCGCTGTCCCCCACAGGCCGTGGGCTGAAGTCACACGCCTACATCCACAGCGTGCAGCTGAGCCACCACGTGTTCCTCAACCTGCACACGCTCAAGTTCTACTGCCTGCCCGACAACTACGAGATCATCGACTCCTCCCTCGAGGACATCACGGTGCGGGGGCACTGGGGGGCACCGGGGCTGCCTTGGGACCTCCAGGATCGAGGGGTTGGGATCTACCCCAGATCCAGGGAGTTTGGGCTGGGATCTGTTCCAGATTGAGGGGTTTGGGTTGGGGTCCCCCAGCTCTGAGGGCTCTCTTCCCCCACAGTACGTGCTCAAGCCCACCTTCACAGCCCAGCACATTGCCCACCTGGACAAACAGGCCAAGCTGTCCCGGGCCTACGATGGCACCACGTACCTGCCTGGCATCGTGGGGCTCAACAACATCAAGGCCAACGACTACGCCAACGCTGTGCTCCAGGTGACACCTGGGTTAAGGCTTCCTTTTGGGGTGAAACGCCCCAGAACATCACTGTGGGTCTGACAGGCAGATATCACACCTTGTCTCCTATGGGCTGTACACTGTGAGGGTGTCCAGGCTTCATTCTGGGCTGAAATCCTCCCAGAATCCTGCTCTGGTGCTCTCTGGGATGAGTCCCACCTCTTTTCCCACAGCATGTTCACATGGGGAGTGCTGCCTTCATTTTGGGCTGAATCCCCTCTGAAATCCTCCTCAAACCCCACATTGGGGGTCCTGAGGGTGGATCCCACCTTCTCTTCTACAGGTGTTACACCTGGGGGGTGCAGCTGGCCTTTTAGGGTGAAAGCCCCACATAAACCTCCCCAAACCCCTCTGTGGGGTGATCACCCCACCTCTGGATCCTTCCCAGGCTTCTCCACCCATGGGGGCTTGGGGGCTTGTGGAGATTCCCCGCCCATGGCAGTGCAGGGCCTGCCCCAAAGCCCCCCCAGATGCCTCCTGTGGGGGTCCCAGGGCTGAATCCCCCTGCTCCATCCCCAGGCCCTGTCCAACGTGCCTCCCCTGAGGAATTACTTCCTGGAGGAGGAGAACTACCGGCGCATTCAGCGCCCGCCCGGGGACATCATGTTCCTGCTGGTGCAGCGCTTCGGGGAGCTGATGAGGAAGCTCTGGAACCCCCGCAACTTCAAGGCCCACGTGTCGCCCCACGAGATGCTGCAGGCCGTGGTGCTCTGCAGCAAGAAGAACTTCCAGATCACCAAGCAGGGTGGGATTTGGGGGACAGGGCTGGGGGCAGAGCTGGGTTTGAGGGGAAGAGCTGGGGCTGGGAGCTCTGGGTTTGGGGTGCAGGGCTGCTCTGGGGGCTCTGGGTTTGGGGCGCAGCAGGACCCAGGCTCAGCTCTAGCTCTGCTCTTGCAGGGGATGGGGTGGAGTTCCTGTCCTGGTTCCTGAACGCGCTGCACGCGGCACTGGGCGGCACCAAGAGGAAGAAGAAGAGTGAGTGGGGGGAGGTTCTGGGGGGGCTCTTGGGGGGTCTCTGTCCCCCCACTGAGCCCCCCTTGTCCCCCCAGCCATTGTCACCGACGTGTTCCAGGGCTCCATGCGCATCTTCACCAAGAAGCTGCCACACCCTGACCTGGTGGGACTGGGGGGATGGGGCGTGCTGGGGTCCCGTGAGGGGTGTCAGGGTGTGGTGGGCAGTGGTGGGTGTTGGGGTGCAGTGTGGGGTGCCTGTGTCCAACAGGATCTGGGCGGGGAGTCGGGGAACTGGGGGAATGGCAGGGTCAGGAAAAGTGGTGTAGGTGTCAGATGGGGGGTGGTGGGGTCTGGTGGGGGGTGGTTTGGGAGTGGTGGGGTTCTGACAGGGAGTTTGGGTCAAATGAGGAGCGTGATGGGGGCAGATGAGGGGTGGGGGGTGGTGGGGTTTTATGGGTACAGCAAAGGGGTGTTAGGGTCCAGTGGGGGCAGCAAGATCAAGTGAGTGGTGGCAGGGTCCAGGAAAGGTGATGGGTCCAGTGAGGGTGATGGATCCAGTGGGGGTGTCCCAGTTGGGGGGGTGTTGGGTCTGTTTGGGGTGTGATGCATCCAGTGGGACTTGTGTGCCCCACGGGGCTGACGTGCCCCACGGGTGTCGTGGGGTGCCCCCAGCCCGCCGAGGAGAAGGCGCAGCTGCTGCAGAACAGCGAGTACCAGGAGCGCATGGTGGAGTCCACGTTCCTGTACCTGACCCTGGACCTGCCCACGGCGCCGCTCTACAAGGACGAGAAGGAGCAGCTCATCATCCCCCAGGTGCCCCTGTTCAGCATCCTGGCCAAGTTCAACGGCAGCACCGAGAAGGAGTACAAGACCTACAAGGAGAACTTCCTGAAGCGGTTCCAGCTGACACGCCTGCCCCCTTACCTCATCTTCTGTATCAAGCGCTTCACCAAGAACAACTTCTTTGTGGAGAAGAACCCCACCATCGTCAACTTCCCCATCACGTGAGCCGTGGGGAGGGGGCTGGGGGGCTTGTGGTGAGGGTCAGAAGCGTCTAAGAGGAGATTTGGGGTATCTGCGGGGGGTTGAAGGCATCTGGAGGGGGTTGTAAATGTCTGTGAAGTGCTGGAAACATCTAGAGGGGCCTGGGGATGTCGGGGGGTTGGTAACATCTGGGAGGAGGCTGTGGATATCTGAGGGGGTGCTGTGGGCAGCTGGGGGGATTGCAGCAGTGCAGGAGGGACTTGGAAGCCCCGTGGAGGTGTCTGAGGGTGCTGTGGGTGCCAGGAACGTGGACCTGCGGGAATACCTGTCGGAGGAGGTGCAGGCCGCCCACTCCCACACCACCTACGACCTCATCGCCAACATCGTGCACGACGGGAAGCCCTCGGAGGGCTCCTACCGCATCCACGTCCTGCACCATGTGAGTGTCCCCTCCCCGGGGGGCTCGGGGGGACCACGGGCACCCCCCTGAGTCACCCCGACCCCTCCCGGTCCTGGCAGGGCACAGGGAAGTGGTACGAGCTGCAGGACCTGCAGGTGACCGACATCCTGCCCCAGATGATCACCCTGTCTGAGGCCTACATCCAGGTGAGGGGGGACAGGGGTGCCCCCAGAACGTCCCCTGACACCCCCAAACATCTCCTGTGCCCCGCAACCCCCTCCTGCTCTCCTGCAGATCTGGAAGCGACGTGAGGAGGATGAGACGAACCAACAAGGCGCATGAGACCCTTGGGGACACCCAGAAACCCCCTTGGAGATACCCAGAAACCCCCTTGGGGACACTCCAGCTCCCCCTCGGAGGTGTCCCCAGCCCCCTAGGGGTATCCCCAGCCCCCTAGGGTACCCTGAACCCCTTTAGGAGCACCCCAGCTCCCCCGTGGACACCCAGAGACTCGTAGGGACACCCGTAGCCCACCTGGGGACACCCCCAGTCCCCCCAGGAGGTGTGTTGTGTCCCAGTAAATGCCACCCACTATTTTTGTAACTCATTTTCACTTCTCTTCTTTGGGTTTGGGGGTGTTTGTGGTTTCTGCTGCTTCCTGTGCTGCCTCCCAGCACCCCTGAGCCCCCAGCCCCCCTCAGGCCCCGAAACACCAAAACGCTGAGGCAGATCTGCTTCCAAGCTTTATTGGGGAAAGCTGGGGGGTCCTGGTGCCCCCCTACAGCCAGACGTGCTCCTGGCAGTGCTGCAGAGCCTGCAAGGGGCCCAGGGGTCAGCTGGGGGTGCAGGGGGTGGCAGCCCCCCGTGCCCCCCGTGTCCCCACTCACCTGGCAGCGCCGGGCGGCCTCCGGGCCCGAGCACCAGAAGACGGGGCCCAGGGCACAGGGGCCCAGGGACAGGGACAGCGCGGGGACACCGACGCCTCTGGGGTCCTGGGGGGACACAGGCGTGAGGGGACCCCCGAGGGTGGGGGCACCCCCGGGACCTCCCAAGCCCCCTGCCCAGGGCTGTGCCTTGTGCACTCTGGCACTGTCCTCTGGAGGGAGGGTGGCCTTACGGGGGGCCTCGCTGTGTCCCCAAGGACTGTGACACCCAGGGCGTGTCCCCAAGGACTGTGACACCCTGGGTTGTGTCCCTTGGGGGCTGCACCTGCATTTGTGTCCCTGGCATGGCTCCTGGGACCGCCACCCTCGGGGATGTGTCCTCGGGGCTGTGGCACTCCCGGACGTGTCCCCTCATTGTTGTGTGACCCTGGGGTGCCCTGTCACCTCCTGGGGACCCTGCCTCGTGTCCCCCTCACCTCCTCCCTGACACAGTCCGCCAGCCGCACCACGATGGCCTCCAGCACCCAGGGCGGCGGCAGCGTGCCCGGCTGCTCCGTGTCCCGGTTGTCCCCGCTGCGGCAGGCGAGGAACAGGCGGCAGAGCAGGCGGGGGCCCAGGCGGCCCAGCAGCCCCTCGAGCGCCAGGGCCGCGTAGCGCTCGGCCAGGCACTGGCAAGCCCCGGCCACCGGCAGCGGCAGCGCCCGGCACAGCCCGGCCACCGCCGCGGCCACCGAGCCCACCGGGACCGCGGCCTCGGCCCGCGCCACCAGCGAGCGGCACAGCCAGCACAGCGGCAGCGGCAGCGCCTTCGGGACCAGCCCGGAGCCCTGCGGGACAGGGACACTGCGTGGGACGGGGACACTGGTGGGGCTGGGACACTGCGTGGGACGGGGACACTGCGGTGGGACTGGGACACTGCGGTGGGACTGGGACACTGCGTGGGACGGGGACACTGCGTGGGACGGGGACACTGGTGGGGCTGGGACACTGCGGTGGGACTGGGACACTGCGTGGGACGGGGACACTGGTGGGTCTGGGACACTGCGGTGAGACAGGGGACACTGCGGTGGGACAGGGACACTGCGTGGGACAGGGACACTGTTGTGGGACAGGCACTGCGGTGGGACAGGGACACTGCGGTGGGACAGGGACACTGCGGTGGGGCTGGGACACTGCGTGGGACAGGGACACTGCGTGGGACAGGGACACTGCGGTGGGACAGGGACACCGCGGTGGGACAGGGACACTGCGGTGGGACAGGGACACTGCGGTGGGACTGGGACACTGTTGTGGGGCTGGGACACTGTTGTGGGACAGGCACTGCGGTGGGACAGGGACACTGTTGTGGGGCTGGGACACTGCGTGGGACAGGGACATGCGTGGGACAGGGACACTGCGGTGGGGCTGGGACACTGCGGTGGGGCTGGGACACTGTTGTGGGACAGGCACTGCAGTGGGACGGGGACACAGCGGTGGGACGGAGACACTGCGGTGGGACAGGGACACTGCGGTGGGACTGGGACACCACCCGGTACTGGTGACAGTGCATGGCTGTGCCCCCCCAGTGCTGTGGCCCCCACAGCCCACGGCCACCCACCCCTGCTGTCCCCGTGTCCCCGTACCTGCAGGTGGCTGCCGGGTGCCTCGAGGATGGGCACGGCCGCGGCCCGGGGACCTGAAGGACACAGCTTCAGCTTCACACAGACGTCCCAGGAGTTCTGCGGGTGGCACAGCGTGACCCACATGTCCCCCAGACCCCGGGGTGGCCCTGCATGCCCTGCTGTGCGCGCTGCCCCCGCGTGTCCCCGGTGTCCCACAGTGTCCCCAAGGCCTTGGCGTGTGCCCCAGTGCCACTCACGAGGTGCACGATGTTCCAGAGGAGGTCATGGGCAAACAACTGAGCCAGTTCCTTGCATGAGTTCTCCTCATAACGGAGATATGGACACACAAGCCCCACCATCCGTTCTAGCACCTCCTGCACCAGGGCACCAACAGTGACAGTGACAGTGACACCCACAATGACACTGTAATACCTGCAGTGACACCCACCGTAACACCCACAGTGACACCCACCACCGTGACACCCACAGTGACACCCACAGTGACACCCACCACTGTGACACCCACCACCGTGACACCCACAGTGACACCCACAATGACACCCACCACAGTGACACCCACCACCATGACACCCACAATGACACCCACCACAGTGACACCCACCACAATGACACCCACCACAGTGACACCCACAATGACACCCACCACAGTGACACCCACCACAGTGACACCCACAATGACACCCACCACAATGACACCTGCAGTGACACCTGCCATGGCAGCCACCACCTCATCAGCCACCGTGGCACTCCCGGTGGCACCTCCCTGTGTGGCACTTGCTGGCACCCACCATGACACCCATTGGCACCTGTCCCCCGCCCCTGGTGGCACCTGTCACCCACCTCCAGGGACACCTCCGAGGTCGATTGGTTGTAGATTTTTCTGAGGTATTCTGTGATCTCCTGACACACGGTACAGGTGTCCTGCTGGAGAGGGCAGCGGGGACATGGGACATGGGGACACGGGGACAGAGGGGAGTGGGACGTGGGGACCATGAGGACATGGGGATGTGGCACAGGGATGTTGGGAGGTGGGACGGGAGCATGGGGGATTGGGGACGTGGAGGGGTGGGGAATGGGGACCGAGGGGGACGCATGGGGATGTGTCGGGGTGGGACGGTGGTGGCACTGGGACCCCTGTGGAGTTCTGGGGTCACAGGGACAGAGGGAAGGGTGGGGGGCATTAGAGGGGCACGGGGGACAGGGGGGCGTCTCTCACCGTGTCGGAGGGTCGCTGGGTGAGGTGGGGGCAGCGCCCTAGGGCCCCGCAGCGCAGCGCCGTCACCCAGTCCTGGCACCAGGCAGAGGGGGGCACCCCACAGCCCCCCCCCGGCGCCCCCAAACCTGTGGCCACTGTCAGCACCCAGCCAGGGGGACCTGGCAATCCAGGACCCCCTCAAGTCACCCCCCCCCCAACACCAGCCCTCTTGGGGGGACCCCCTCAATGAACCCTCCCGCTCCAATAGCCCATCCTGGGGGCCCTGGCACTGTGACCCCACCCGTACCCACACAGCACCCCCAAACCCCATTCCTGCCCTCACGGGGGACCCGGGTGGAAGGGACCCCCCCCAGTGACACCCCCATACCCCAAGAGGGGTCCCAGGGCTCCGGACCCCCACCCAAGGGCCCCCTTCCCCCCTTGTCAGGCGTCTGTGCCCCCATCACTTCAGCACAGGGTCTTGAGGGGGGCACCCAGCTCTGGGGTCACCCAGCTCTGGGGGCACCCAGCTCCGGGGGCACCCAGCTGTGGGGTCACCCAGTTCTGGGGCACCCTACTCCGGGGCACCCAGCTCCGGGGTCACCCAGCTCTGGGGTCACCCAGCTCTGGGGGCACCCAGCTCTGGGGTCACCCAGCTCTGGGGGCACCCAGCTGTGGGGTCACCCAGCTCTGGGGGCACGCAGCTCCGGGGGCACCCCCAGCTCCAGGGCACCCCCAGCTCCGGGGGCACCCAGCTGTGGGGTCACCCAGCTCTGGGGTCACCCAGCTCCGGGGGCACCCAGCTGTGGGGTCACCCAGCTCTGGGGTCACCCAGCTCCGGGGCACCCAGCTCCGGGCACCCCCAGCTCCGGGGCACCCAGCTCCGGGGGCACCCAGCTCTGGGGTCACCCAGCTCTGGGGTCACCCAGCTCCGGGGCACCCAGCTCCAGGGGCACCCAGCTCCGCGGTCACCCAGCTCTGGGGTCACCCAGCTCCGGGGTCACCCAGCTCCGGGGTCACCCAGCTCCGGGGCACCCAGCTCCGGGGCTGTCCTACCTGCGGTGGTCCCGAGCAGGGCGAGCAGCAGCGGCAGCGCCCGGGCCATGGCGGGGGATTGGCCGAGGACGGCGCCGGTGCTGGCCGGGCCGAGCGCGGCCTCTTAAAGCCCCGCGGGCGGGATGTGGCCGCTGGGGCCGTGCCAGCTCACGGGGACAGGTGTGCCACGGCTGCGGGGACAGGTGTGCCACACTCACAGGGACAGGTGTGCCACACTCACGGGGATAGGTGTGCCACACTCACGGGGACAGGCGTGCCACACTCACGGGGACAGGCGTGCCACACTCACGGGGAAAGGTGTGCCACACTCAAGGGGACAGGTGTGCCACACTCACGAGGACATGTGTGCCACACTCAAGGGGACAGGTGTGCCACACTCACAGGGACAGGTGTGCCACACTCACAGGGACAGGTGTGCCACGGCTGCGGGGACAGGTGTGCCACACTCACGGGGACAGGTGTGCCACACTCACGGGGACAGGTGTGCCACACTCACATGGACAGGTGTGCCACACTCACGGGGACAGGTGTGCCACACTCAAGGGGACAGGTGTGCCACACTCACGGGGATATGTGTGCCACACTGACGAGGACAGGTGTGCCACACTCACAGGGACACTGCGGGGCTGCCACCCCACCCCGCGCTCTGCTGCTGGCCCCATGCCCGTGTCCCCAGCAGGGATCCCTGGTGGTGTCCCCATGTCCCACTGAGTCCCCGCTGCTGTCCCTGTGTTCCCACC